ATTTACTGAACATCTACTAGTTACCAGTGGACCTCTTTGTAGTCTAACCAAAATATTCCATGTGATGCTAGCAACTACTCTATGTGGTATGTGACACTATTTACAGAACAGGAAGTCAAGATCCAGAGAGGTTAAGCAATTTGACTAAGGTTGCAAAGCATAGAGGTGGCAGTGCCAAGATTCAAACCCAGATCTGTCTGACTCTAAAACCCATGCCTTTTACTATTTATGCTATACTGCTATCCTCTGCCAAGGGCAGGGTGGGGACAGAGATGCAGATACCAGTTTCTTTTTCAATGTTCCAGGCTGCTTAGCAGTGAATCCTGCACACAGTGTGTATTTGGTAATTTTTCCAGAAGTCTGCAGAACAGGCCTAAAGACATTAAGGCTTACATAGGCTATAATCAAGTGCCCTGCAGTGGCAACCCTGTTTTTATAGTCTGGTTTCCTCTTACAGGGGAACTTCTCTTTGCTCTGCTTTTCTCTCAATCTCCTTCTGACCCTAAGCCAGGGACCACATCATGGCAAACGTATGTGGCTGTTGCTTCAGGTTTTTCTGAAAAGGGCTTCCTTGTCTATTTTTGTGTATGTGGAGCTCTGACCTCCAGAGTTAGCCTCAGTCTCAGTTACTTCCTGAAGCCTGATCACATGAACCCTCTTTAGGGATGAGCGCCCTCTTGAAGATGCAAGCATAATTTAGACCCAACCTCCAATTGCTTTTCCTCTGGCTCTTTGTCCCTAGACACGCTGAGCTTCCCTGGATGCACCATTGTATGTTATGCCTCTGAGTCTTCCCATATTCTGTCCCTTTTTCATCTTCCCAATACTGAATCACGGTAAAAACTTCCCCCTGGGAAACCTCTGTTCTTCTTCCCCAGCTGAATCCCCTCTTCTGTGCTCTTAATATTCTGTGATCTTTTCCCTGTCATAACATTTACCAAATTATGCTGAGAGTATCTGTCTACCATCTGTCTCTTTTACTAAACTGTAATCTATTCAGGGGGCCGTGTTTTAGCCAGTACCAAGTGTAGTACTTGGTCTGTAGTCAGTGCTTACTAAATTGTTTGCTGAGTGAACAAATGATTGAAAGTATATCTTCACTTAAGACTAGTGGTTAGTAAAAAGGTATGCCACTCCTCTTCCATAGGCATCCTTTTCTTGCCTGGAGGCCAGGTAAGCTCCAACTCTAGTAGTCATGGTGGACTTTGAGAAAAATAAGGGGGTATGCAAGTATGACTGGGATACTCGCGACTCCCATAGACTTTGGGGCAAGAGCCCCAGCATTTCTGGGACAGTGAACTGTTTCCTGCATACTTGAAGCCTTGTGAACAAGTTTTATGGGACAAACAAGTCCCACAAATGGAGTCCCACCATGTTATCATTCGTTCATTCAGCAATATTGATTGAGCATCTACCAAACTCAAGTTATTTTGGAGGAAACAAATGAATCACATAAATTATGCTCACTAGAGGAGATAAGTCATTTACTGAAATAAGTATGAGATAGGTGTCATCCTTACCTCCATTTTAAAGATGATAACACAGAGGTACAGAGAGGTCAAGTAACTCACTCCCTGTCACACAGCTGGTAAGCAGCCCACACTCAGTTGCTGGGCACACGGCCTCTCCAAGGGCAGCACAAAACAGAGGAACCTCAGTGGCAGCTTGGAGAAAGGAAAGAGACCTGTCAGCGATAAGGGTCAGGAAATGAGAACTAGAATTTGATTTCCTCACTCTAGACAGTAAGAGAAAAGGCATAAACTCTGAACAGGTCACAGTAAACAGTAAAATTGTTTGGGTCAAAGAAATAATAAAAATTGAAAGGTTAGTTTATGCTAAACTAAAGAGAGCTCGAGTGCCAGGGGTTTTAGACAACTGCAGACAAAGGAGAGTCCCCGGTGGTTTCTAGTCAGAGATCAGATCGTGTACCAGGAAGATTAATTTGCACTCTATGTATAAGATGGATTATGGTGAGAAGAAGCTGTAATCAGGAAGATCAGGGAGAAAGTTATTACGATACTCTAAGCAAAAAGGCTTTTTGACCCAGGATAATGCTGGGGTTAAAACATGCTCTTGGCTTTTGATGAATCTCCAAAGGTTAAGGATGTACACTCCCGCAAATGCCTTGAGGTCTTTGATCTGTGAACTTAGTTCAGCCTTGTGAGGTTTATTTCCAGCCTTGGCGTGTACTGGCATCATCTGTCCTCAAGCCATTGCTTTTGGTTTTCCACGAGCACCACAGGGTGGGGAGAGACTGGGTCAGGAGCAGAGCCAGGCCACCCTTTCCCAGGCTTTTGGTAAAACAGACAAGTGTGGTCCCTAGCTATACTCTTTGTGCTCTGTAGATTTAGAAGCTTTTTACTCTCTGACCTTTTTTCTACCTTATAAGTCCTGAAATTTAAGCTACTTTCCTGCTGTAACCACCCCATCAAATTGTAGAGCCAAAAGAGATTTGTGTGATCACCCAGCCCAAACCTCTCATTTCACAGATAAAACTCTGAAGCACTGGGAAGGAAAAGCAGCTAGTCTCGGGCCACACAGCCAGTAAGTGGTGGGACATGCCACCAGTCCTCTTAGCTTCCCTGACCTGGACCATCTCCAGCTCGCACCTCAGATGGGCAGCCCCTAGAATGACTCTACTTTCTGGGGCAGGAATCCAGGATTTTGCATGAAGGGAGAAAAAATCTTGGTTGCATTTTCAGGGGTGATGTCCATCATTCACAGAGCATTGGCTGCTGGAGCCTCATGAGGCAGTGTGTGGCATCTGCAGTATCTCTCAGGTGCCTCATCAGCTGTCTCCTTAAAAATGCTTGACTATGCCGGGCTCGGTGGCTCAGCCTGTAATCCCGCGCTTTGGGAGGCTGAGGTGAGTGGATTGTCTGAGCCTACGGGTTTGAGACCCACCTGGGCAACTTGGCGTAGATCTCATCTCTACAATAAATCAAAAAAAAAGAAAGATTAGCTGGGTGTGGTAGCGCACTCCTGTAGTTCCAGCTACTCAGAAGGCTGAGGCCGAAGGATCGCTGGAGACCAGCGGGTCGAGGCTGCGGTGGCCGGGAGTGGCCACTGCACTCCAGTCTGGGCGACAGAGTGAGACTCCAACTCAAAAAAAAAAAAGCCTGACTATTAAATTATCTTCATTAGCAATCTCTGTCTGATTGTTGTATTCCTAATGCACGATTGGGAGCAAGACTTAGATTTAGGTCATGAACAATTTATAATCATTACACACCATCATCCCCTCAAACCCAGCACCCTTTCCTCAGCACCACACTGGTGCCCAGGTTTTCGAATTTCATCATTCAGTGTCATCCAGATGATCTATGGGCCATCCATATTCCCTCTGTCTCTCTCTGACTAGTCAATCACCAAGGGCCATTGTGTTTTTCTTTTGTAACACCTCATTTCTGTCCTTTCCATTCCTCTTGTAATTCTGCTTGGAATTCCATGTTGATCTGTGATGAGATTGTTGGAAACTTGCACATAAATAAACAAAATTCAAAAAAGAAGTCACCTCCCCTAACTTGGTTTGAAATCTGCTTAACTTTGCACCTGCATCACAGAATCCTTTTAAAATGTGAGTGCAGGAGCCAAAATTTGCCTTTCTCATAATAAGCGGTGAGCCTTTGGTTGTAAAAATCCAACTGTGGCCGTCTATGCATTTGCACAGCCTTTTTGCTAGCTACCCAGCCATGGGAGTTTCTGTGGAGGGCAGTTTTAGGCAGAAGAGATTCAGCTGAGCTGCCCTCATGCTGGTCTGGCACTAGACAGAGAGTGATCTGCATGAAGCCAGTTTCTGAGCTGAATTTTCTGAATCCTTACTCTATACAAGGCACAAGCTAGCTGCCAAAGGGGTTACTAAAAAATATGAGTTCTCACCTCAAAGACTCAGCCTTGTTAGGAGAAAAAGCTAGCTGTTAACATGTGGCAACATAGCTGGGCATGGTGGCATGTGTCTGTAGTTCTAGCTACTTGGAAGGCTGAGGTGGAAAGATCACCTGAGCCTAGCAGATCGAGGCTGTGGAGGTATGAGAGCCTGGGCGACAAGAGTGAAACTCCAACTCAAAAAAAAAAAAAAAAATTGTGGCAACAAATTTCAGACCAGGACAAAACTTATTGGAAATAAACTCATCTACTGCCAGGCATTATGTTAGGTTCTGGATAAAAAGATACATGACAGTTTCTGACCACAAGGGGTTCATGATCGATAAGGGAAGATGGATAAGACAATTTTAACCCACCTTGATAAACATTATTATGATCAAAGTAACTTAGGATACTTTGAGAACCTAAGCCCAGACTAATATTTATAATAAATGATTGAGCATGACTATGTGCCAGGCACTGTGTGATGCACATTGTCATTTTCTTTCATTTTACGCTCACAACTTTTTCTCATTTCATTTTTATAACTACTTCTGGGCAGAAACTATGCTTATTTCCAATTTTAAGATTAGGAAACCGAGGCCCAGAAAGTAGCTAGTTCCAGGGTAGGTAACAGAAGGAACCAGTAGGCCAGGCCTGGACTACCTGATAGCAGGGTCCGAGGACTACTGTGTCTACTTGGCTCTTCCTGAAGAAGGCCCAGTCCAAGCAGAGCCAGAAGGATGGATAAGAACTAGCCACACTGGGTTGGGCGGTAGGTAGTATGTGGACATTGCAGACATGGAAGAGGAAATCAAACATGATATGCTTAGAATCCAGTGCTTCTCAGAACAGCTGGAATAATCAAAGGCTTCGCAGAGGAGGTGACTTTTGATTTGAGCTTTGAGGGACAGTCCACAGACACAGTGTTCAGCATAGGAGGAAGGCAAAAAGAGAGAGAAGGTATCAGGCCATAGCAATGAGCAGGCCAGACTACAAGTGAAAAATGAAAGTGTGGAAGCAGGAGACACTGAGTGTGGGAAGCCATTCATATGTGGATGTGGAGGGGACACAGTGGGGGACATAGCAGAAGACGAGGATCAGCCATGCTTTCTAACCTGGCCTTTCCCCTTCAGCTTACACTCAACTGCAGCCGCACCAGCTCCTCCCCCAGTCATCATCAAAGCACCTGCAGCCCCAATTTGTGATCCAGCAGCAGCAGCCGCCACAGCCCCAGCAATCACGGCCTGTGCTCCAAGCCCAGTCCCAACCCCAGCTCGCCTCAGTCCCTCCAAGCTTGGCCCTCCAGCCCAGTTCAGAAGCCCATGCCATGCCACTAGGCCCAGTTACACCTGCCCTGCCACTCCAGTGCCCCACAGCCAATCTGCACAAGCCTGGCAGCACTCAGCAGTGTCGCCCTCCCACGTCAGACGCTGGGCCTCAGAATGGACATCCTGAGGGCGTGCCCCACGCCCCTCAGCGCAGGTTTCAGCACACTTCAGCTGTCATCTTACAACTACAGCCTGCTTCACCTGTGGTAAGCTGATCCCCAAGTCCAGGGAACAAACAGGGAGGCCACAGCTCAGACAGTCCCACGGTCCCTGCTGAGATGTGTTTCTGGGTAGGCTGCATGGTGAATGTCATCTCTGGGTATGCCAAGAAGGAGGAGAGTGCTCTTCTCAATTTGGGGATGACCGAATCTTAAAGTCCTTGCTTGCTCTCCAAGCTCTATGGAAACAGGAAGGTGTCCAAGAACATAGCGGCAATTTATGAGAAGACCCTTTCTCTATTCTGTCCTTTAACAGCCCCAGCAGTGCACCCCTGACGACTGGAAAGAAGTAATACCCAGGGAGAAGAGTGTGCTTGAGTCTCAGTCCGGCCCATCACCACATCAGCAAGCCATCATCACTGCCATGCCTGGTGGCCTGCCTGTACCTAAGAGCCCTAACATCCAGCAGTCCCCAGCTCATGGTATGAAGCATAGTGGGGCCCTCGGGGGAGGTAAGGAAGTTGGCCTCTCTTGCCATCCCCTGGCATACTTCACTTGGACATCTGGAAGGGAGGGTAAACTATGGCAAGCCCAAGGAGGCAACAAGGAAACTGGGTGGTTGGAAACGGAGGGACGTGAGAAGATGAGCCAGTAAGGATAAAGAAAAGGGACCCAGAAAATGCAAGAGAAAAAGGATAGAAAAAGAAAGGAGAGTTGAAAGTTTAGAGCCGGGCACTGAGGCCGTCATGTCACTGGTGTCAGATGTATCTGCTTATATATGTGCCAAGTTGAGAGTGAAAGCAGGGGTCCAGTTGTCACAATTCTCTGCTTCCTTCAGTTTTATAAAGGGGTCTTAAAATTGGAAATATAGCAAGATGGCTACCACATCTCAAAAATAAGAGAAATACCTGGGGCAGTCAGAAGGGGATTCAGAATGAGTTCAGCTTACAGAAAATGTCTTTGAGGGAACTGTGCTCAGCTCTGGATCTCCGTCTGTCTGTCAGTGAGGGCTAAGTTACAAGTGGACTCCTCCATGGCCTGGAATTCAGGAGACCCTGCTGGATCCCTCCACCACAATGGGAAAGGAATAGCAGTACCTGTACCTTCTGCAGAGATCCATTTGCTTTCTTCCCCCTCTGCCATTTTGCACAGCAGTCTTGGCCCAGATCTCAGTGACATTCTGAGCCATGGACCGCCTACAACCCAGGGACGCCATTCCAGTCATTCGTTATGCCAAGTGTGTACTGAGAGTGCGGGTGGGGAGAGCCAAGAGAAGAGTTTAGACATTGAAAAAGGAAAAATGAGAAGAAAAATACTTTGGACAAGGTAGGGCGAAACATTATAAAGGTTCTACAAGGGATAGGGATGGGATCAAGGAAAAGGAAAGTAAAAGAATATGGAGAAAGAACAACAGGAAAATTAAGACAGGAAGGGGCCATCCCTTCTCTCTTTGCATACTTGCAATGATGAAGGGCTCCTCATTTTGAAAAGCAGCCCACTGTAGAATGGCTGTAATAATCAGAAAGTTGCTCTTCAAATTAAGCCAAAGCCTGCTCTCCTAAAACTTGCCACCATTGGTCATGATTCTGTCTTGCAAATTATAGCAGAGTCCATCTTATACAGTGTGTGTAGACAGTTGTCATCTCTCTTGCCTTTCCTCCCATTAAAAAAAGAGAAAACCTCAAGGCTAAATTTCTGGGATGTTTTTCTTTTTTGTACCTATGACATGTCAAGACCTCTCTGGTGATGCTTGTCTATCCACATTCTACCTTAAAGTGTGATCTCCTAAATTAAGCACATTAGTTCCAAATAGAAAAAGCTACTAGTCTTTATAAGCCTGTTTAAGGGGCAGGACAGTTTCCTAGATCCATATAGTATAGTAGGGAGGAATAAAATTTGTAGACATCTACTATGGGCCAGGTACTGCTTTAAGTGCTTTACTCACTCATGACAGCCCTGAGAGTTAAGTATTATTATCTTCACTATTCAGAGGAGGAATAAGAGCTGGAAGGGGTCACACAGCTAGGAAAGGGCAATGCCATGACTCTGCTCCTAGAGCAGCTGCTCCCTCACTTCCTTCATCAAGGCGGTGCACCTATGGCCTCCAATAACTCCTCCCACCCCATGGGAATGACACTATTGTTCACAGAGCATCATGCCTCCGGAATTCCAGAGAGTTAGGTTTTGTTTCTGCTTTTGTTTTTGAGGTTTCTTTTTACATGGAACTGCTATCTGCTAGGTCTCCTCAGTCTCAAACTTGTATAATTTATAGTTTGAACTAATATATAATTAATTATATCTGTTAAATGTTATCTTGTGAATTTAGCCCATAGTTCCAGCCTAGCAAGAAAACAGTAATAGTTAATGGCTAACACTCATTGAACTCTCTCTGTCAGGCTTTACATATATTTCCTCATTTAATCCTGACAATAACTCTCTGAGGTGTAGGAGCTTTTATTATTTCCATCTTAAATATAACCAAATTGAGGCACATGAAGAATAAGCTGTGGAACAGGAATCTTTTCTATTTGAATTCTGTTATTCATTATACTAATTCCTCTGTTTAACTTTGCCACCTGTAAATTATGTAGCATGTTTTCTTCATCTTTTACCAATTTTCCAATAGAAGTATCACATAAGACCCCATTAAGGATTCATGCCCTGTCTCCAGGCTGGTGGTAATCAACATTTTTTGTTGAAATATTTGTTATCCAACCACCCCTAAGGAAATGACATTTGCCCACATTTCTCTTTCATAAAACTCTCAAAAGTTTCTTTCTGAAATCTAAGCAAGGTGATTACACATAACAAGCATCCTGCTCTTGAGGTCCTAGCTCATAACAGAGGTAAGCTTTGCACAGTGCAAACAGTTGTCAACCACCCACAGTATCTATCCATTCTGTGTACATTTCAATGCTTGCTCTGTGCAAAGCACTGTGGGATGGGAGGTAATACATAGAGAAACAAGGTCTGTACCCTACGTTCAAGGAGCTTAAGGTCAAGGAGCTTAAAGATGAAAAATGTACAGGAAAAAAAACTACAATAAAAACTAAAATGTGATAAATGCCACAGAGGGGTTTTAGGTAAGTGCTTTAAAAGTAACTGCCATCTAGAGGTGATCAGGACAGATTTCAGGTAACAAGGGCATTGTTCTAGAGAAGGGGTTGACAAACTACAGCCCAACGGCCAAAGTCATCACATTTCTAGTGTTTGTACAGCCAACAAGCTAATAATGACTTTTACATTTAAAACTATTCGGCTGGGCTCGGTGGCTCAGCCTGTAATCCCACGCTTTGGGAGGCCAAGGTGAGTGGATTGCCTGAGCCCGTGGGTTCGAGACCCAACCTCATCTCTACAATAAATTAAAAAAAAAAAAAAATTAACCGACCATGGTAGCGCACGCCTATAGTTTCAGCTACTTGGAAGGCTGAGGCGGAAGGATCGCCAGAGCCCAGCAGGTTGAGGCTGCGGTGGCTGGAACATGCCACTGCACTCCAGTCTGGGCAACAGAGTTAGACTCCAACTCAAAAGAAAAAAACTATTTTAATCAAAAGAATACTATTTCATGATACATGAAAATTATATGAGATTCAAATTTTAGTGTCTGTAAATAAAGTTCTATCTGAACACAGTCACACTCATTCAGGTACATATTATCTGTGGTTTCTTTCATACAATGGCAGAGTTGAGTGGTTGTGACAGACCGTATGACCTGCAAAATCTAAAATATCACCTTATGCCTTACAGAAAAACTGCTGTTCTTGAGTCTAGACCTTGGAGGATAGGTAGAACCTGAACATGCAAAGTTGGGGAAGGCGTATTCCAGGAAGGTCTAGTGGACATTAAGGAAGGGAGGCAGGAAAGTGTGGGCATGTTTGAGGAGTAAAGAGAAGCTGTGTGTTCAATCCCTTGTTACCTTAGTTTATAAAACAAAATGTTAAGTGTAAAAAACACAGAGGCAGAGAGGAGAAGGGAATATAAAGAATAAAGATTAATGAAAAAGGGGTTTGAAAATTTGGAAAATAGAAGGAAGAGAAAGGGAATGGGGAAAAGAGGAAGGTCGAGAAGTAAATATCCAGGGTATGTCAGATAAATATAAAACAGCACTCCAGCCTAGGCAATGGAGTGAGACTCTGACTCAAAAAAAATGCATATATAAATGCATATATATATATAATGCATAATATATATATAAACATCGGAACAAGGAAAATGGGATGGGGGAAAATGGGGCAACAAGAGAGAACCAATATGAAGTGAGAAAATAGGCAAATGTTGGGACTAGAGGGAAGAATGGAGAAAGTCATCGTCTATCCAGCAGCATCCGGGTGCATCAATCCCGTGGGGGTGAGAATTGCGTGTCACATTGTACATCTTTTGTACCCCCACAGCTCCTGGCATGTTTACTGAATGAATGTACTTCACCACGACGGTCCAGGTTAAACCAGTGTGTTTTGGGAAGAGAATTAACATTTATTGGGCTCCATCTGTGTGCCAGGCACTGCAGGCCATTCCTATCTACTTCCTCAGTTAGTCTTCACAGTAAGCCTAAAGCCGTTTATGGAGGTGACTGGGTCACTTTGGTCATTTGGGGAGGATAAATGACGACTTGTAGTGTTACTGTGAACAATAAGGGAGAGCGTGTGTATGCAGGGTTTGGCACATACTAAGCACTCAATTACTGGTGGTCATTATGATTGCCTCCCAGACCCCACAGGCAGCGAAGTGTCCGAGGCAGGAGTCACATCCACCCCGCCCACGGAACTCTGGCTGGTGGCAGGGGCAGCCGTCCTCGTGGTGCGGGGCCCGCCTCCCTAAACCGAAACCCCGGCGTCCCTAACGCGCCTTCCGGAGGCCGCGGGGCGGGGGTCGGCGCACA